CTTTATACATTACTGGCAGTATTATTATAAAGTAAGTCACAAATCCCAATTTCCTATAACACGTTGTTCGTGTCAATTTAAGCTTTTCATTAAGTCTGTTATTATCAATGAATAGTATTACCAATATTTATATTTCTGCTTCAAATAACGTTTGGTTTCAAACCAAGACCTCTACTATGTTTTTCAATCTGTTGCCCAAAGATCAGAATGTGGTTGAAATAATGGAAGACGACAAATTAGGATTTGATCCTGGTAAAACCCAGTCTTAACACTTGCCTAATGAAAATAGTTATGTTCAGGATGACATCGGAAACAATCATTCTTCAGAGAAAACAAATAACAATGTGCAGCAAAACACAAGCCAAATAAATGCCAAGAAGATGAAGGGATTCAAACAAGGTATGCACTTAATGAAACAGACAATGAATCAGACTATGAAAGAAGAAAAATAAAACTTCCTTTTTCTTTGGCAAGAAATAGCAAAGCAGATTCACAAACCTATCTAACATGCCAAATGATCAGGAAAAGTTAATTCCATTAAATAGAGAAGACAAAACGAATGAAATAAGCATTCAGCAACTGATGTCCGTAGTGTCCTAACAATTCTGATAACCTATCCAACTTGACAACTTAACTAGGAAAATCTAATGCCACCAAGTACATAGGCAAACATACATGATAATAATACCAACAATGACTTCAGAGCATGCTGGCAGCCTGTCAACCAGTGAAACCAGTGCAAAAACTAGTTTAATTAGAATGGGAAACTTTTCAGATGTGCTGCTGAATATTAAAAAAAAAAATAAGGTTTCCATCAACACCACCATTTAATGATGAAGCCAACATAAGGAAAACAAAAAAATGCTGAAAATATTGAGAATGTGTTCGAAACATGAAATACGGAAAGAACACGATATAAAACATCCAAGTCCAAAACAGAGTACATCATCGTACAACCTAAGGAGCCTACATAACTAAGAGATATTGGTATGCATACAGATATCATTATCAATGGAGCCCTAAGTCCAATGGTTCTTGACTTTTTTTCTTGCAACTCTCAAACATACGTTTAAGCCTCACGACCCCATTTCTACATTTGTTAAGTTTTGTCACACACACACACACACACACACACACACACACACACACACACACACTTGGAAACCATCTACAACCCACAAGATCACCACCGCGACCCTGATTTGGGTCACAAACTGGGGGTGGGAAACACTGTCAAAGGCTAGTCGAGAAACAACATCCTTATAGCCACGGAATTCAAGATCACTTGCTAGGAAGCAAGCTTCAGTACTGTAATTGCAAATTGAAATTTGTGCAAATACTGTCTGATTGTAATCTGCATTGAATGACAGTGTCAAATTTAAAATGCAGTTGATGAAATGGATATTCCTACGTCTGACTCATCGGCAGCTTTCACTCGTCACATTTCATCGAATGTCTAGGTGCAAATAGCAGCTATTATGATGACAAAAAAATTTCCTAAAAGACAGAATGAGAAAATATAGGAGGTAAAAGGAAAAGGTCGACTATAACCTATTTGTAATCATCATGTCAACAACTCTTTAAAAAATCAGCTTTTCGGCAAATCATTGTCGTTAATTTTCAGCAAGCGATTCTATATATGACTGGTAAATGTGTTGAATTATGGTCTAGTGTCGTACTTGTATATATAAGTTGATATTCGTTGGACTCGGTGCGAATAACCTCGGCCTTAAAATGTTATTGACTAATTGAAGATAAACTGAATAAGACCTAATATATGTTTATACTGTCAACTATTGCTACTTTCTTTTTTCTTCTTCTTCCAAAAAATATGATCTGAGAGGATACATATATGAACAATAAAATCCCTATCTAAATATTTAAGGATCAATTCATATTTATGGCATTTGTATAATATTCTTGGGTGTGTCCTTATGTAATAAAATACACACTGCAGACCACATTGTGGTCTGTATTATGTGCACGCAGCACGTGTCTAATGTAGACCCAGATTTGCCGTCATTACATTCCCCCGCAAATCAGTCAATTCCATACTTTCTAATAATTATTTCATCCAGCAACATAGATCCTGGTATAATTGGATTTTCCACTCTTAATCATTAGTGAGTATAAATTATCCCCGTTTTCTAAATTAATTCAACAGAATATACAATATGATCTCAATCCTTTCTGCTTTCCGTTCAAAGGGCAAATATGTATATTAGCATGTGATATTAATAAAATATTTATATAGTTATATATGCTGTACCAATGTAACACTCGCATAAATTTTCATCAAAAGGAAACTTTGCTGACATAGTTTCCTTAGCATGCAATAGCTATGGACAATTATCCGTTTCTCGTCGTCGTCGTCATCATCATCATCATCATCATCATCATCATCATCATCATCATCATCATAAACCCATGATGCATAAAAAGGAAAAGATGATGCATGTTGTTGTCAGGTTTATCATTGAAATTTACATTTCCTTTGTTGATCAAAGATTATATGCATAAACAGCTGAGGAGAGAATTATTTAATATTGTTTTACTCATTAGCAACGACAAAATGAAACAACTTATCGTAGTTCCATCGTGAATTGTTTTTAATGTGGGTGGGTGTATTGTTTTGAAGTGCTTTAATTGCATGTCTTTGTATAAAGACCTATCTTGATCAATGATTACTGCAATAAATTTCACTGTTAAATAGTGATATATATATATATATATATATATATATATATATATATATATATATATATATATATATATATATATATATATATATATATATTATATTCTGGTAAAAAAAAGCGTATTCAATCGAATGGTCTTTCTGCTGCCAAACAGACTAGGGACACACGCGCGCGCGCGCGCGTGATCATGTCCTTTGACCCCATGGCGATATTCCCTTGGCAAAATATATCAGACTAGTATGATTGGAAGGTTCGTGTTAAGTACTAAGTTAAACTCGGCATACCTTAATCTATATGACGATAATATGAATTACAGTGTGACTGGAGGTCAAAGTTCTTTGATTGCAAGATTATTGTCAGGTTTTTCACATTGTACATCTTTTGATAAAGTTTAAGAACACAAGAGAATAATTACATATATCAAACAGCTACAACGTCGTAGGCTACAATTGCCAAAGAAAAAATGATGACTGTAAGTAAAATATAGTACTTAAGTAGAGTTGTTTTGTTTTGTTTCAGTGAGTTTAGTTAATGACAAGGTTATTAAGCCAGCATCAAAAAAATTATATAGGAATATTTAAACTAACCATTCGAAGTCTAACATGACAGATGACACGAGATTCTCGCGGTAATTCGTTTTCTAAATAAGGCTGGCTATGCAATATTTGGATACTCTACGATGCGTTATTTTATAATACTATATTTACACAATCTGTTACGTTTCCAAATAAAGCAATAATGTCCACACAAAAAAAAAAAACATAAGGCTGAAAACGGAGGTACTTATCAATTGAACAAATATGACGGACGATCTAACATGATATATCAGATAAAGAAGGTTAACGATATTTTACACGTATTTCTACAGTCATTTACAACAATCCTGGTATTAAAAAAGAAGAATATTTTTTAGAGCAAGCTGATAAAGAGCCGGGTGTGATTTACACCGGGTTGCTCCATTGATACACATAGGCTAATGTTATCAACCTATCCACGAAGAAAGATACTAGTATTATTACTGAAATAATCAAATAGATAACTTAAAATAAAAATAACAATCATTGTTTGTATACTTGGTTCCTTAATTTTAAAAAATACATAGATACAATTTCCATTTTATGCAATTTCGTGAAACAAATGTTAACAAATACGTTTTCATGCGGTTAATATTATAACAAATAACTTGCTCAAAGTTCTCAAATTTTTGAGGATTTACTCAAGCCCTGACTTTAAGTTTACAATTTGAAAATAAAGCTCATAACGCTGAATTCATGTCATTAATAGATCATGAATATTATAAAAATATTAAAAAAGTAATAAAATACTGCAACTTGTACCCAGAGTAAAATTGTATCACAACCAAATTTTGAAACTTACATTTTTTAGTTCCAAGTTTATTCTCCTGAAACAATGGTTGTGGGAATCATTCGTTTATCATCTTTTACCTCTATAAAGGACAACTGTCTATAAAAGACATAAATATCTAGCCATTTTTGTGTCCTGTATAGACAGATTGGTCTGAATATCGCCATTTTTGCATGTCTCTGAATGAGTGTGTGAGCGTTTGTATTTGTGTCTGAGTGTGTGTGGATATAAATTAGAACCTGCATAATGCATTCCCTTTTTATTCTGAATTCCTGTCATTAATAGCTAAATAGTTCGGACAGTCTTTAACCTCTTTAGTAAGGTTTTGCCAATTGTATTCTAGCTCACAATCCAATCACGCCAACACAAAATTTGTCTCTTTCAATGTCAACCAACACCGATTCCATTATGTATGCAAAGAGTTAACTTTGAAAGTTACAATTTAAACTTACCGATGTCTGTTTTGCAAACTGCAATCATTACTTCCACAACAGCCACGTATAAAATCCAGTACGTGTCTTTCATGTTTGCAGTATTCTCTGTAAAGAAATATAACAGTAGCTTACATTAGCTGCATTAATACGGCGTGCTATAACACGTGAGTGACAGGAACCTAACGCAGCAACAAGACAATGTTACATGTATCTAAATACCTTAACTGGGTAAGGAAATGTGTGTGCGTAGAATTTGATATGGTGTGATTATGATTATGATTTTTAAAGTAGCTTTAACTATTTTTCAGTGATATCGCTAGTGATATTGCTAGTGATATCACTAGTGATATCGCTAGATGTCTAGCACTGGGACATCATGCCGCAGACATGTAAGCATGATGTCCCGCCCATTCACATTATCCTGACACCAGGCAGACCAGTCCTAACAATAACCTCTTAACGCTGAGCGCCAATTGTACCATTTTTGTAAGTCTTTGGTATGACTTGACCGGGGATCGAACCCACGACATTCCGCATCCGAGGAGGACGCTCTAACCACTAGGCCATTGGAGAGGTTGTTTGCGTAGAAAATGTGCAGTCTACAAACAACATGGAACCAGATTTACGAGTGCGCAAGGTACCGTTAGATCAAGATCTATATTGTTTTTTATGCTTGCAATCTCAAGTAAACATACTCTATATTGATCTGTCCGTGTGATGTTTACCCTGCGTATTTAGAGTTTGTTATAATTGCATTTGAAGAAGCTATGTGATTTGGTACTGATCTGTCCATGCATTATGTGATTACAGATCTGGGTCTATGCGTTTTGTTATACTTAAATTTTGAAGCTAGAAGACCAGACCCTGTTCTGTACATGCGTTATCTTTGGACACATCTGGGTCTATGCGTTTTGCTAAACTTAACATTTCAAGCTAGAAGACCAGACCCGAATCTGTACATGCGTTATTTTTGGACAGATCTGGGTCTATGCGTTTTGTCATACTTAACATTTGAAGCTAGAAGATTAGACCCTGATCTGTCCATGCGTTTTTTTTTTTTTTTGACAGATCTGGGTCTCAGCGATTTGTTATACTTATGATTTCAAGCGTGACAACTAGACTTTGATCTGTCCATACATTATCTGATGGCACATATGGCTTTATTAATTTTTGTTATGCTTATCATTTCACGACAGCACCTACGCAGAAAACAAAGACAGGGATGCATAGCAGGATTGAGAGAAATAATAAGTATTGTGAACTATACCGGAAAAAATAATGTTTAGTTTGTGTTTGTCCAGCTTACGACCATTTAAGAAAAAATACTACAGTGAAGTTTATTATTTCTTTCCGTCTGTAGAAAAATGTGTATCCCTAATGAGTCATAATAATATATTAATTATATGTAATAAATCTTTCTTACTATATTAAAATGGCTTTTTGTCTTGGACAATCTTTGATAACTCAAACTAATGGTGACAAATATAGTTAGAGGTAGCAACATCTTTATAAAGTAATGCACCGATTATTAGAAATCATGTATCTACATTCACTATGAACATCATATTAAAATTCTTTACAGCATGGCGCACGTGGTATTTACTTGTATTTTGTAATTTGGGCCGGTGGCCTAAATAACTGAATAAAGTTTTATTATATTATTATTATTTCACGACAGGATATGAGACCCTGGACTGTCCATACATTATTTTATGGTAGGTAAGTGGTTATGTCATTTGTTATACTTACGATTTCAAGTTAGGAGAACGAACCGTCATCCGTTTAAGCATTATGTAATTATAGTTCCAGGTATATATTTATTTTATAATTGTTATCTCAAGATACTATTTTTGGGACCGATATGCCCACGCAGTTTTGTTTGGTATCTCTATGCTCTATTTGTTATACCTAAAATTTTACCCACATTCCCCCAAAATTCACCCCCTCTCGAATATTAAATTATAATCTTCCCATGCAAATTGCGATAGTACTTCAGTGTGTATTCAAAACACCATCCCATATCTCTATCATTTCTACATTTGCACTTAAATTATATAAATTAACATTTGAACAATCCCTAATTTGATATATCTATGTTCCCATTGTGATAACCAAAAACAAATATTCCCATATAGCTACTAAAGTTTTTGAAAGAATATGCAGTGGCTACTGATTTTACTGTCTTCATGCAATGTATACAAAAGACGTGTGAATTATTACGACCAAAATTAAAATTATTGAATAATTTTGGATATTGATGAAAAAAGTTTAAGTTGCAACCAAATGGTGTACATCCTGTCCTTCCCCATTGTTGGAAGATAAGGCAACTTTCTGCTTGCGGGTGCGAGATATGCAATTCTAGAATATTAAGGTATACCTTTAAGTGTATAATGATACAATATCAGTTTACGCTATATATGGGCAACGACTTTGAAAATCTTCAGTTTACAATCTTAATATTTATGACGATATGACCGCTTTAAATTTAATGTCCACGTCTCTCCTTTCACTGAATAAACAAACAAAAAAAAAGAAAATATTATTCTCTTCTTGCCAATAGAGATTTTTATGATAATCTCAGTGAACGGTTGAAGTATAGGTACATTTTATGATAGCAACTTTTGAGAGTTCTTTTTGTGCACGTGAAAGAGCAGTTTGCAATTTCTTGAAAGAAATAAACTTCCACAGCGCCAGAGTACGAAGGCCAAATGCTGCCAACACATTCGAATACCAAAAGGAAAATAGAGTTTTGTAAATTTTCTAAACCGTGATTATGCCACTTCACAACTTTAAGTTCCAAATATTGTAAATGTGCACACTTTGCTAAAATCGGTACATAGCACATTTATGTTTTAAGGTTATACAAATGTATGCATATTCACGTTTTCTTAAAATGGGCACACATATACTTTTATATTTTACAAGGACTGTCCACCATTATTGACAACATACTCATTGACAAATCACAACTAAACTCAATTAGTATTCTGTTCGCAATAATAAATTAAGAAGACTAATTACATGTATGGAAGAATATTTTTTTTTCAAAAAAAAGATAATTAACTTTCAAATATACATTGATAATTATTATTTCCCCTTTAGACCCTGAGAAATGCATAAAGATGGATATATATATATATATATATATATATATATATATATATATATATATATATATATATATATATATATATATATATACATACATATATATATATATATATATATATGTATGTATGTATGTATGTATGTATGTATGTATGTATGTATGTATGTATGTATGTATGTATGTATGTATGTATGTATGTATGTATGTATGTATGTATGTATGTATGTATTACAAGAGATACTAGCAGAAAGGTGGATTGATAAGAGCAGATATGATAAAGTATATTCTTTTTCCATTGTTCAAATTTTTCTAAATATTTTTGAGTCCAATAAAAAATAAGATTTGATTTGAAATAATATCTATCTATTTATCCATCCGTCTGTCTGTCTATCCTTCCATCCATCCATCCACCTACCCACCTACCTAAGAAAATATCCAACAATAAAGCATGTAGTAACCCATGCATTTTATTATCTCAGATTAAATGTTAACCAGTTTTTTCTTGCAGATAATATACGATATCGCTGGCATCACACGTCTCTACCATTACACATACAAAGAACTAATATACAATAGACTCTATAACAATAACATGTACAGCAGCATTTGTAACATCCTTCTCTAACAGTACGCATATAAAATTCAAATATACAGTGGACACTATCAATGTATAGCAGCAATGGTTTTTGTTGTTGTTGTTGTTGTTTGTTTGTTTGTTTGTTTGTTTGTTTGTTTGTTTGTTTGTTTGTTTGATGCCATTTTCACTAAATGTTATCTTTACATAGTGACCAGTTTATTCGTTGGAGGAAGAACCGGCGGAAACCTAAAAAAAAAAAAAAAAAAAAAAAAAAAAAAAAAAAAAAAAAAAAAAAAAAAAAAAAAAAAAACCACCGACCCACGGGAAACTACTGGTAAGCATTCTAACATATATAACACAGACAGCAGACGTAAGACTGGTATAACACAGCGCAGGCTATGACGCTACCGTATTTCATTGTCGGAGCTGCGTATAATCATAAATGAGGATATTATATGTTGGAGAAAATACGATAATGACAGCTGGTAATAGTTGTTTGTAATTTCATATTGGTCAACTCGTTTCTCTTAGTGGGATTGTAAATTTTAATCATTAATGTTGTGAAATAAATGTGCTACAATTGTCATTCTCAATTTGACAACTATGATCATTAATAAATGCACGATGACTAAAAATGATAATGATGAGTAGCGCAAAAAGACATGTTAACGCAGGTCAAGTGAAAATCGGTCAAACACGTTTACATTCTTTATGTTAAATATATTCAACAACGTATAATTTAAACGCGCTTTGTGACCTCTTCAGACTCAATCAGAATTCGGAATATTTATGAAGGTTATACAAGAAATTATCAAATCAGCAGATTTAACTAAATGGGTTAAGTTATGTGGTAGCCGAAATTGACAAGGAATAACCTAGATCTTGCTTCAGGACAAGACACCGCATGTTCATGTGGCATTTATTAATAATGTACCTCAGAATAACGCAGTTCCTCATCTACGATATTTGGACATGGATCCCACTTATCCAGCATGCCTCTTATAATGTGCTGCAATGTATGAAACCTCTACGCAAGATAGAAATTTCAAAAAAGATAAACATTCTATAAGAAAACAGCGTGCTAAATACCTTTGTTCTTAAAGATAATCTTTCCTAAACTTTAAAACCAGATAAGCAACCTTGTATTATTTATATATAATATCACAATCGTTGCCTTGTCTTGAGGGGCTCCCGAGTGGCCAAGTGGTCTAAAGCACTCACCGTTACAGATCATTGCCCTCTCAACTCTGAATGGGTTCGAGTCTCGGGTTCGGCTAATGGGGGTATATGAGAAAGCTTGACATCAGCTTCTCGTGGGTCGGTGGTTCTTTCCGGGTTTTCTAGGGTTATCTCACACTTGTTGGCTCTCGTCCATAGCCTAGTTTGGTCACATGTATTTAATATAAGCTAACATAATAATGATAATGGCATCAAGCAAATACTTTGAAATAAGAATTTTCTGGCATGATTCAAGACACTTAATCTCAAGAGTAACCAGGGTCGTAGACTACGAACACGTGCCCTAGGGCAAGAAACATCCGGGCCTCTCTTAGTTCTTGTTCTTTTATTTTCTTTATAAAATTAAAAACGTTGTTCGGCCTGGGCCCCGGGGATATATAATCCCGGTCCCCCCACCACAATCGTTGGCCGTAAGAGTAATTATGAAAGCCTCAGAAGCTAGGTAAGGCTAAATGAAACAAAACTCATCTTTTTCTTACAAAGTTTAATTAGGTTTCTTCCGTTTAATGGTTAGAACAACTTAGTCACAATGTTAAGTTTTAAGCAGCGTATACCTCGAACCAGTCGAACTTGAATGAAATTTCATACAGTACCCATGCGTATATCACTGTCTTACTCTGATTAAGTAAGAATCTCTCTCTCTC